AATACGATCTAACTCTATGGACTGACCTACGGGACTTTGAATTGTCACCGAATTCTCAGTATTCTCAACGGGAATATTTAGACCCTTAGAAATGGAATGTGATACATAGGAATGGGTAGAACCATTATCAAACAATGCAAAGTAGGGAACTGAATGAATAGTAATAGTACCTGCAATCACATCAGGTCCATTGCGATCTTATCGACATCTAGCAGCATAAACCAATGCAGACTATCTGGCCTCATATCATACTGGACCCCTACTCTAAGATGTTCGACCTGTACTAATCGATCCCGATGCTCTCTCCTGACTACAACCCACTGTAGAAGTCTGAATTGTACTCTGAGTACGAGCGGGAGTACGAGATGGTGTCTGAACTGTAGGAGCTGGCTATGGACAATCCCTCAAGAAATGGTCACCATAACCACATCTAAAATAGGTACCTAATTTCCTCCTGCATTCCCCAAAATGACATTTCCCACAATGATCACATGACTGCAAAGGCTAAGACCCAGAAGAACCACCATGTCTATAAGGTGGAACAGCTGAAGAACCTAATGCCACAGGCCTGGCACTCGCACTGCCTCTTTGAAAAGACTTACCCCTGCCTCTCTTCCTGGGGTGTGTAGAAGAATCAACGAAACCAGAAAGCCTCCTGAATCGGTCTCGATCTCTCCTAAGCTCCATACCCACTCGCTCGATATCCTGGGTAGTCTTGGTTATCTCAACCAATACATCAAAGTTCCTTTCCCGATGGGTAGCAACTCGACTCCTGATCTCATACCTGAGTATTTTCTCAAACCTCAAGCAGCAATCTGATTTAGTGTCAACAAGTCCAATAGCATAGTGGCTCAATCTAATGAACTTAATCTCATAGTCCATAACAAACATATCACCCTGCTCCAAATTTTGAAACTCCTGGCGTCGCTCCTGAAGATATCTCTCTCCGATGTAGTGACTCTAAAAACGTGCCTTGAATAGATCCCAAGTTAACTGATTTCTCGAAATACTACCAGAAATTAATTGCCACCACTGAAAACTCTCATTCTTCAGCATAGCTAGGGCTCCCTTTAAAGTTTACTCAGGCCTCAAATCCATCTCATCCATAATCCTTTCTGTATCCTCCAACCAATACTCAGCATCAATCAGAGGTCCACCAGTAATGCTTCGAAATGAACTACCCCAGAAGCTACCAAAGACTTTGAAATCTCAACAGCAGACATATGACCATGGACTTTAGCAGCTCTCATGAACGTGCAAAAGACAGCTCTATTAATGGCGTCCTCATCCATATCATTGTCCTCGTCCTCAGTTACGGGAGTGTCTCTCGCATGAGTAACCAGATCATCTCTAGAAATAGATGGATCTATATGCGGGACAAAAGGATCTCGAGGTGACATGGTATCATATATCGTAACAGAAGGTCGAATCACTCGCCCTTGACCACGGCCACAACCTAGCCTATGACCTTTAGCGGCACTCATCGGATAAATGTATAAGGCTCTACAAAAAGATTTTGAGCCTAACTCAAAATAGCAACAGGGATTTCGAATATATTTAAAACTCATAAATAAAGTGACACGGTTTTTGAAAAATATCTTGAAATACAAATTTTTGGACTCATCTATAGTCCGAGTGTTTAAAACGAAGGCTCTGATACCACCAAATGTAACCCCCTAGACTCGGCCTAGGCGTTAGATCTAAATCTAGGCGATCACATATCGCATTCAGAGGTTCTTTTCATATTTAAACATATATGTATACATATGTTAGAAAACTATATAAAACATATACATATAAAAATACCGCAGAAAACCGTATAAAACATTTACGGAATAAAATATCGGTAATACATATATCTCAAGACGGTAGCAAAACACGTCACAAAAATATAACTGAAAGGCATATAGAGATATACAGTAGTACAAAAGTAGGAGTATTCGATCCTCCTGATGCCAAGTCTGTTAGTCTAGTCTACTATTATCTGAAAATATTAAAATTTACGGAATGAGCTAAAAATCTCAGTGTGCTCTTACGGTATATAAAAACATATAGATAAAATATTTCACAAAAATCAATTTATCAAACAAGTTTTAAAAACATGAACACTACCCCCATCCGATCACCAAAATCTGTAGGTTCCCCAGAACCATACACCCACCTGTACACCCAGTAAGGACTTACCCTGTACACAAAGCAGAGGAGCCTACAGTAAGGACTTACTTTGAGCACAAAGTTGAGGAGCCTGCAGTAAGGACTTACCTTGAGCACAAAGTTGAGGAACCTGCAGTAAGGACTTACCCTGAGCACAAAGCCGAGGAGCCTGCGAAAGGTGGTAAGGTCTTACCCTAGCACATAGGGTTGATAGGGAAGCCTACTATTGAGTTTGTCGATCATGATCTGAGTAGTTTGATAGGAAAGCCTACTACTGAGTTTGTCGATCACGATCAACGGTAGCGCTAGATCTTCTGAATCGAAAAATGCATACCGTAATCCTAATATGAATAATATTAACCTTTATTTATATAATTTACGGAAACATACGAGTAACTCTCGTAGAACTCGGATTGAGTGAATCTGATGGACGGGAAATACTAGACCTATCTGACCCTCAATCAGGTGAAACACGAGTACCTTCATAAAAATATCTTATTGGATCAATTCCATAACCAAATCTCAAATAAATAAGTAAAAATGCTAAAAATATTAAGCATTTTTGGGTTAACGAGCTCGATTCGGGACTTTCGGGTCAGAATTTGGCAAAACAATCTTCAGAATCGGACTCAGGACGTCGAAAAACATAAAATATGACTTCTTGGTCAAAGTCAACGGTCAACATTCGGTCAACGGTCAACGTTGAACTAGGTCAGAACGAGTCGGGCAGGCGGGTCAGATTAGCTGGTCGGGTCGGACACGTGCCGGTCGGGTTAGCCCATTCTAGCAATCCACCAGGATGTGGACTTTCTCCACTCTCAGGGGTGGCGTATGGGGGCACGTGCAAGGCCGTAGAGGGTCGGAAAAATTCTAAAAAAATTGATATAGCTATTTTAAGGGGTTTTGAGACACTTACCAAACTCAATTCACAACGATGAATGACGGAGAGCTCGATTCTGAAACGTCGAAAACTTGATATACCTCACCCCTCGCAAGCCGGCGACAACGGAGATAATAAGGATACCGATGGACTCGGGACGACGCAAGAAACACGATGGTATGAGAGGTGTTAAAAACGGAACAACGATCGACGATGAATCAAAGATCAAACGTTTTTTTCTATAAATGAAAATGTTCTGGAGAAAGAAAAATAAATTCAAATTTTCTTGAGATTTGGGGTTATATAAACCCTTAAAAAGAAAAATGTCAACCATAGGTCTTCTATCTTTAATTACTTTATGAATTTGAATCCAAATTTAATCAAAATTTCAATTCGATCCCCGAATTCAATTAAAATTCAATTTAACCAAAATTTTAGACCCTATTTTGTAGTGTGACAATCATCAACCTCCAATTTTAGATACACGCAGAAACTTTTACGATCTTAAATTCAAAACAAACATGATTTTTCAGTCAAATTAAAGAAACACTTGCAATATTTCTTAGTTCATCACCCAAACGATTAAAACCTTATGTAAAAAAAAATCAAATGAAACAAATTTGGAACTAATACAAGTTCCTTGGGTTTAAATTGTCTTTTCCAATAGTGAGGGTTAAGCCAACAAGCATGGTTTACACATTTTTAAAGTTTACAATTATCAAAATATATCGTAATCTCCCATGATCATTTTCTATTAATACATGATACGGTTGTCGAAGCTATAAAAAATAAAACATGCTTAAAATAACTTATAGTAGCAGTAAACAGAGTCGAATTCACAGAAAGTGATGAGATTAATTAATTAATTAATTAATTAATTAATTAATTAATTAATTAATTAATATACAAATAAATAAATAGATAGGTAAATAAATAAATAAATAAATAAAGAGGATTTGTGTTTGTGTAGAATTGTAAAAGTAATGGAAACAATTTAAATTAAAAATTATTTTCATGTGATATTGATTATAGTCAAGGTTAATCTTGGTGTATTAAATCAATTTTTAGATAATAGATCTTCACAAAACATGAATCTGCATTAATTTCAATTAGCTTGATTATAAGTTACTACAAAAAAAACATGTGTAACCCAATCTCACTTAATTAATCGTCAATCACCGAGAAAAACATGAATGATTGCTCCCCTTATTATCAAGATTAAAATTCTTAAAGACATAAGAAAAGCACATAAGACATAAAATCTAATAACAGTTTTATCGAATTAAGAGACTCAATGCACACAAACTATCAAAGCACTAATCCATTAACTTATCAAGAATATAAATTCATACCTTCAAATCTGATTTCTAAGTTACTTACCACTTGTATCAAAGAATATCTTGATTGGTTGTATATAAAGATGAATAAATCGAAAAACATACAAAACTTATAAATAAATATATACTTATAGAGTAGGTACAGAAATATAAAGATGCTTGAAATAGAACGAAAGATCTCACTAAGAACTTGTATTAATAACCTTGAAAAATCCTAACTAGATAAAGAAGAGTTTAACAACTCATGGAGAGAAATATCAGCTAAGAAGAGAAAAATATGTGAATATGAATTGTTTCTTCCTCTCATGACACTATTTATAATAGAAGTCATTTACATCAATAAGAAAAATGAGTTTACGTTAAGATACAATTCAAAGTCTTATTCTAATCTAAATACTAGATAAAAATAGAAACATAAAAAATATAGATTTGAGTAGGATTCTTCTTTCTTGAATTCTTGTTAAGGCTTGCCAAGACTTGTCAAAACTCCAAAGTATCTAAATTTGACTAAAACTATACTTTTATACATGAAATGTCCTTTAGCCATCCAAATATTTAAAATATCAAATACTTCTCGAAATAATGACTTTGAGATATATTAGAATGCTAAAATATAGGAATTTAAATATAAAAATCATGCAAATATCTGATTTATCAATACACAATAAAACAACATAAAGGGAAGTATCTGTTAACTGATCAAATCACAGTTAGGACATCGGATTTGTAAAGTTTGCATATACTCCTATTACAAGCGTTCAATCTTAAATGAAAAATCGGGGAACACTCTACCAACAACAACCAAACCGAGAATCAATCCTTATCTTGGCTTTAAAAAGCGTAAAGCGCCCTAAAGCGCCTAGGGTCCTAGATGCCGAAGCGCTAAGCGAAAGCGCTCGCTTTATGCACACGAAGCGTCAGAAAGGCCGAAATTCACAAAAAAATACATGAATAAATGATATTCAGTTTGACCTTATAAAACATAAAACAAAAAGCAATACCAGTTTGACCTTATAAAGTCAGTGAACTTTTTTAAAATCAAACTATAAAACAGAAAGCAATAAAGTCAAACTATAAAGAACGAGAAAGCATTTTATAAAGTCAAACTATAAAGTCAGTGAAATTTTACCAATTTAACAAGCATTTTGCTTGTCTACATGTAAAATTCAGCAATACTAAGTACTTAAAGAAGGGCAAAGCAATAAGCTATAAAGAAGAACAGTATTCTATTAACTATAAAACACAATTTTGCAATAAACTATAAGTATATAAACAACAGAATTACGTACCGGTTGATGAAGTGTAGCAGCAGCGTGACTCGAGTGAGATGAGAGGAAGATGAAGATCAAAACTTGAGTCGTGAGTCGGGAGTCGGGAGCACGAGGCCATAGGCGACAGGCGTGGAAGATGATCGCTCTCTGTGAATTTTTTACCGCTCAACCTCAATCGTTCTCTGTAAATTCTTCAATTACCGCCTATTTCAATCGCATTTTTTACCCTACCCCGCCTAAACTAAAAACCGATCTAAGCCTGATAATCTAATAGCCCGCTAAACCCTAAACAAGCCCAAAAATTGTATATGCTAAACCCCATATTCGTATCTTCTAAACTCGCAATTAAGCGCCGATTAGCGCTTTGCTAAAAGCGCTGCAAAAGCGCCGATTACTACCGCTTAACGAATTCGTAGCGCTTTTGCTATGCTGAAGCGCCAGGGGCCTCGCTCGAGTCGCTTAGCGCTTTAATCGCGCTTAAGCAGCGCTTTTTTAAACACAGATCCTTATAGATACAATCACTCAACTACTCTCAGATATTCATGAAATAAATGAATAGACTCAAAACCTCTCAATTACCTCTGTGATACAAATACTAGGATGATATTTAACTCAATCACCCAATCAAATCAATCGATTATTATCAGGCCAACAATTCAATTTCACAGCATATCTCATCTCAAGGAGCCTTATACTAGCTTAACATTTTACTCTTATAACGAAAAGTCTACACATCTTGCTAAATATTTCATGACACCTTTATCCATCAACATAAGAATATTTTACTTACCTTACCAATCCCATGACGATGGATGGGTCCATGCCTTAAACTCTTGCTTCACTCGTCTCACGATCCCTACACTATCCCCTTTAGAAAATTTGAATCTAAAAAACAATCATTTTATAAATTTCATCAGAACCATAAGCCCCTTTGCATTTCCAGCTCTCCTTGCAACGATGAAAGCCTCCACGTCAGCTGGTCCCCACTGATGATTGTCCTCTGCCAAGAGCCTTGCAACTGAAATGCTTGTGGCAAGGGCAAAAATAACCTCCAACGACCTCGCATGGAAAAATAATAATTCATCCAAATCAGAGGCAAACAAAACAAAAAATAGAGAGAATTGTAATGGGATTTTGATTTTTTTTATTTGTAAAAGGTCATGTAAACCAAACACCATGTAAAAAGGGATCCCCCATTCTTTCATTCGAAAAGAAAATAGAGAGCAATACAAGAATATTTTTTAGGATTTTTCATAATCAGTCAATATTTTTTAGAAGGGAAGAACACGAATAAGGTTTTCCCCATTTTCCTATTTTCATTAAAAGCAAAGCAACCCATTTTCTAATATTTCGAAGCATACGGGAAAGAGAGGGGTGCGTGATTCGTTACCTGAAAGTCATCGGATCTCTTCGGAGTCATGAGGGGGAACCATTCGAAAAGCACAAAAAGGGGAGCCATTTTTTATCATCCATAGCCAGTGCAAAAAAAAGAAAACCATGGAAAAACCAGAGAGAGAGCATTAACAGGCGATAACCAGCAACCAAAAAAGAAGGAGAAGAAATCGGTCCCAAAAGAAAAACCTTACCCTGCTCGAACGTTTGGTCATCGTCTACGCCGGAGGGAGAAGAGATCTTTGTCGGTCGGAGGTAGCCTCTAAATGCCCTTTTGTTTTTGGTTTATTTGGGGTCAGAGAGGTGAGCATTTTAGGGTCATTTTTGGGGTTTGGGTTTTGAAATAGATGGATTTGGAACGTTATTGTCTCCTTCTCGGAGCCCGTGAGCGGTGGAAGGCCACAGTGGCCTTGGTGGTTACCTGGCCAGAATGAGGAAAGGAGACGAGAAGAAAGAAGAGAGAACAGCGCCGAGGGGGGAAATGGTTAGGTTTAGGAGAAATTAGGATTAGTTTTTAGGTTAAATCTTAATTTAAGGCTTTAGGTAACTTGGATGAAACGACGTCGATTAATCAGGGGCCAGGGTAGTCCATTTTCGTAGGAATGGGTTTATTATTGAGGGAGCCACACCTGTTTTCAATTTAGTTCATTCTAGTCCTCCAAATTCATGTTTCCTGAACTTTTAATTTCACCTTCATATTCTACGCACATTTTAACGGTGTTTTTCCCAAAAAATCACCGGTGACTGGTATATTTACCGATCTAACATTGGTCAGACTATATTTTTCGATCTAACACCCTTTGCAATAAGGTGTGCCCCCTGCAGCGCGCTATACGTTGATTTGGCGCCATATGGGGTAAAGCGCGCCCCCTGCGACGCGCCTTATGCTAACATGGATACACGTATGTATAGCGCGACCCTTGGGGCGCGCCTTACGCCACGTAGGGTATAGCGCGGGTCAGGGGCTGCGCCTGACCTTTATAATTATATATAGCGCGGGGCAGGTACCGCGTCTTGTATAATTGTTACAACTTTTCTCGGCTATAAATACCCTTCTCCCTCGGGTAGTTTCTCACATCTCTTCACATGTCTCCTCTCAACTTATAAATTAATACAACAATTCCGTTAACGAGTCAATAATTCTGACAATTTTCTCATATTTTATTCAGAAGTTCGTGCGATTTTTCGTTATAAGGTAATTTTGTGATAATTTTTTTATTATATTTAGTGTTTATTATGATTATTTGAAAAAATATTATACTAATTGTTGTCAATTAATTTATGTGTTTGTAAAATTAGAAAGCGGGAATATACATCGAAATAGTTTTGCGGTACAGGTAATAATATAAAATTATATTATTTAAATTATTTACGTTTATGTGTAAAAATTTTATTCTGTTATATTTTCGTTCATATATTATTTATTTAATCAGCATTGTTTCAGTTATTTTTTTTTTTGCAGATATAATATTGCCTCACTTTTAAACTCAAAGAATGGCGCGACTTTTAGCTATTGTTTATTATGATGGTGAAATTCGAGAAGATGAAACCGACGTTGTTTTCGTATCAAATGAGCGTGTTAAATATCATTGAAGAGAAACATAACTCTTGAGGAGCTGATAACGAAGACTTCGAGGAAGATTCATGTTGGAAGTAGTAGAATAATGTCGTTGTTGCAGTACAGATTTCCAAAATCATTGTTGCCATTAACTTATACAGCGTTCGAACTTTTGAACAATGATGATGTTGAAATGATGGTTGAAGCTCAAAGTAATTATTCAGACGTCGATATTGAGATGTATGCAAATTTTATTCAAGTGTGTGTCGTTCGGGGTCAATCATTAAGCTCCCACTATGGGCTGGCTGAACAAGTTGATCAAGTTGACAGCCCGACGACAGTAATGTGTAATGATTTTAATGCCATAATGGGGAGACATTCATCCGTAACTCCTTACGATATGTATCGAGGTGGGTCGACGAACAATCCGTATGGCAACATCGCATCCAGTTCAAGGGGAAGGCATTCATCTGCAAATTCGTTTGACCTTAATATGGAGATGCCATCGATGCAACCATTTGTGCAGTTTTTATTTGACACGATGGCTTCAAGCTCGAGTGGGAGGCATTCGACTGCGAGCTTTTTCGATCTGAATATCGATATGCCTTCCAGTTCAAGGGGAAGGCGTGCAAGTAGTAGGTTCTTCAACCTAAATGTGGAGAGCATGGAGGAACCATCATCTCCACCAGAAGAACCGCTTCGTGAGCCTGGTGCGGATGGTGCTGAGACTGGACTATTCATTCACCCAGAATCATCGTAATTCAACTTCGATGGGGATGATGATGTAGATGAAGTTCCAACAAATGTGGCACAAATCGACCCTCCAGCACACATGTATGAAGCTGATTATGATGCAATGTATGGGGCCAGAGTTTGCGGATATGCCTTATCTCGGTGACTATGGACTATGGATATTACTCATCAATAAATAATGGCGAGTTATCTTTAGGCATGGAGTTTTCAAGCAAGGAAGAAGCAATGATGGCTATAAAAAATTACAATATATGTAATTCTGTTCAATCCAGAGTCAACCGCTCCACGACCGAAAAATATGTATGCTACTGTGCCCGACGCGAAAACAGATGCAATTGGATGGTTCATGTATTGAAGAGGAAGAGGAAAAACAACAGATGTGAACTAACAGTATACAACGGTTCTCACACATATTGTGCTGGAGGGGTCAACCAAGATCATCTCAACTTGGACTCTAAAGTGATATGTCAAGCCATCATGCCCATGGTAAAAGCAAGCTCTCATATAGCTGTTGCTGTGTTGATTTCAGCTATACAATCGCAGTATGAGTACACTGTCTCCTATAAAAAAGCTTAGTTAGCAAAACAAAATGCCATTGTCAAACTTCATGGCGAATGGGATGCATCTTACAATGAACTTCCAGGCTGGTTTAGGCTGGTGCGGAGGTTGAATCCTGAGACAATTGTGGACTTCGAAACCTCCTATGCATACCATAATGATCGAGTTCTCCGCGATCGATGCCAATTCTACTGGGTTTTTTGGACTTACCCACAGTGCGTTAATGCTTTCAAATACTGCAAGCCTGTGGTCCAGATCGACGGGACTTTCTTGTATGGAAAATACAAGCAAGTTTTATTATTGGCAGTTGTCCAAGATGGCAATCGCAATATTCTTCCAGTTGCTTTTGCTCTTGTCGAAGGAGAAGATACATATTCTTGGGCTTTTTTCCTCCGAAATTTACGTGCACGTGTTATCAAGAGGGAAAACATCTGTGTCATTTTAGATCGCGGAGCTGGGATCAAAGCAGCAATGGAGTCTTTGGGTCCAATGTGGCAACCACCCTTTTTCCAACATAGGTATTGTCTCTGACACATTGCTACGAACTACCATGAAAGGTACAAGAAGAATGATGAGCGTCAATTAATTGTGCGCATGGGTAAGTGAAACTGATGTAGTTTGTTTTCTTTCGATCGTTTTAATTTTGCAAAGAAAGCAAGTTAGTAAGTTATACATTTTTTGATAAGGTTACGAACTACTTCCTCGAACGTTTGAATCAATGCTTCAAGATTTGCGGGCGAAGAACGAGGAAGGATACGATTACATCAGCCTCATCGATAAAGAAATGTGGACGAACGCATATGATGGTGGATATCGATATGGACACATGACGACCAACTTGGCAGAGGCAATCAATTCAAATTTAAAGGGTGCACGTCACTTACCAGTAGCGGCTTTGGTAAAGACTACATATTTTCATTTGGGGGTGCTTTTTGCGAAGCTCGGGGGACAAGCTCAAACCTGGATGCAAGGCGGTCATGTCTATCACCCTAGATTAGTTATAGATCTATAGAAAAAAAATTTCTGCATCAAATGGAATGTCTATAACAAGCTTCTCTATAAGACATGAAATGTTTCGTGTCATAGAGCTGTCGCGACCTCTTTAAGGGATTGAAGTTGTATCGTTAAGAGTAAATCTAAGGGACAGAACGTGCCACTGCGGGTTTTTTCAAGCTCTTAAGTATCCATGCTCTCATGTGATAGCAGCTTGCTCGCATACACGTCAAGACTATAACCATTTTGTGGATCCCGTATACCTACTATCTGAAGTTTTTAAGGTATACGAATTTGAGTTTCCCCCATAGGTAATGACAAAGACCCTGATGAGGTTCAAGATTGGCTTTCGATTGTACCAAATCCGAGTTTATTGAGGGAGCGTGGTCATCCAAAATCCAATTGAATTCATTGCGATATGGATATTCGAGAAATATCTAGACAAGACAGAAGATGTGGGTATTGTAGAAACCCAGGACACACTAGAAAAACATGTCCACTCTTGTTGCCATCAAGTAACAATTGATGAGGAAATGATGTATTTGTTTATCAAATAATAATTCTTGTACTTTGATTTGCATTTACTTCAAGTTAATGTTATTCGATAATCGCTGAGGAAGATTAAAAAACGATACAATAATACGAGATAGGACGTTTGCGTTATATGTGATTATAATAAAAGAGATAATAAGTGACAAACTTAAGAAAGTTATCGAATAATTTGGTATTTCAAAATAATTTTAAATACAACAAAGTTACAATAAGTATTAAATGGTAAATGATAACCAAATTACAATAACTGATATTAAATGGTAATAAACAAAATTAACTAAAATACATTAAAAAAGTCAAACAAATTTAACAAAATAAAGTAAGTATTAAATGAGAAATAAAAAAAATTACAATTAAAAAGTCCAATAAACTAAATACAAATATAATAAAAAAACAAAATATATCGATGCTTGCGACGCGAATGTGTTCCGCAGGGCGGTGGTTGTCGGTCTCGAGGAGGATTTCTTCGTATCACTGGTTGTGACTCCTCGTTGTCATCACCATCACCATCGTCGTCGTCGTCGTCGTTGTCGTCCTAAGTAGGTACATTAGGTTGATGAGGAGCTGATGACGATGAAGCACCTCCATATAATAAGGACCCTGGAGGTGTATGACCGACTATCCCATCGGCCTGCGAAAACTGAGAAAACTCTTAAAACCCAGACATCGCTGAATGTGAAAACTGTACAGGAGGTGTCTGTGCTGCGGCCATGGGTGATGAGACTGAACCCGCCAAATATCCAACATATGAACCCCAAGCTAGATCTACAAACATAGACCCATAATAGCCTCCAGGAGGGGTCATCTATGACGGTGGCGGTGACGGCGGGGTCATAAAAGCAGGTGAAGGCAGCGGCGGCATCTGGTAATGGAAAGGCGGTGGCGGCATCATATATAGCTGTGGTATGTAAGTCGCTGGATACGGTGGCTGCTGTGAAGGTCCTGCTGGTGCAGCTGAGGATGAACTGGAAGCACATGCTCTCCGTCCATGAGTCGGGGGACGATGGTGTTGTGTCGGTGAACGTCTCTGTCGACGACGCGGAAAGGTCTACCCTCGTGCATCCTTGAGA